ACAGCAAGGTGACTGGGGATAAAAGTGCAGGATAGTATGGGAAGCTGTCACTGTGAAAGGAAAAAGATGTATCTCTGATGTGTTTAGGAGACACTGTAAACAATCTTGAAGATTTTTCCCAGTGATAAGAAGAAATAGTCCAGAGAAACAAAAGATTTTGCTAAGTAGGGAGTATGATATTACATCTCTGATTAATATGTATTTTCTCAAATGGGATAAGCTGTACCAGGCTTCCCTTACAGCTCATATGTGGTTGGAGTTTGTACAGGTTGAGATAAGAGATGTGATTTTTGCTCAGGGAGAAGATCCCCCTGTGAATCTGTGAGGTGTCTGGACACTCAGAGGTACCTAGTATGACTCACTAAGTAAAAGGCTTTAATTTGGGATTTGTTTACTCACAACACATACTCATGATCCTTCCTATTTCGTATCTCCATGCTAAGATTGGCCAGACTACCTCTTTTCTGAATTTGTAATTGAGGAAACTCTATCTTCACTGTGACATGGGAAATTATTTCAATGAGACTGAAAGGCAAATTTGTCCTCTTGTTTCTCTTTAAATGTTCTGCAAAAATTTTTCACATTTGAAAATCTATTCTCATTGACTTTCTTGAAACTGACTCTTCTGGGGGCAGCTCCGCCTGTTTGTTTTACATGGAGGATTGCTCTCCACAGATTTGTTCCCACTATGTTTTGCACTACCAATAGATGGGTAGCAGCAGCTAAAACTTCAGTGGACTAACGGCATTTCCACTGGATGTGTTTGATCAGGGAAATATTCAATACTTGCAAGAAATTAGTTGTTCTTTATGTTTATTTTCCCTTTTTTTTTTTTTTTTTTTTTTTTTTTTCCTCCAAGAATGGAGTTATGTTATGTTGTTTGCATGGTTATGTTGTTTGCATGGGTGGCACAGTATTGCTCTTACAAAAAAAAAACAGCTGAAATGTATGCACTTTAAACTTTTCATCATTCCAAGGATCTCTAACTGAAATCAACTGATAAAATACTTTTCCAGAATTATAATAATGTTGAGAGGCATTGTTTCTTTTTGTTTTCCACCCTGCAACAGCTCAAGACTAGTGTTAGATGACTACATATATGCATATATTTTAAATGAAATTCAAAGCTTACTTAGGACAATGATGATCTTAGCCCAAGAGATAAACCTCTAGTTCATCCTGCAGGAATGTGAAATACCTAATAATAAATGCTCACAAAAATCCTACGCATGCAAAGGAGCTGATTGTTTTGGAGCGTTTCCTTTGCTAGTATGCAGCACAGAAAGGCCTGTTCATATAAGTAAGGAGATATGGAAAAAAGCATAGGTTTATCTAGCTCATCCTTTCTCAGTGCAAGGGTATTGTCTGTACTACTCTGGATTTTTGGTAGTGCAAGTTTGAATAATTTAACAATGGTGTCTTTCAGTATTCCTTTGGATAGGAAATGATGAAAAGTTTCTTGGTATTGTGTTGCCTTGTCTTTTTCTTTCAGGCTCTGCCTCAGGGTTCAAGAAATTGCTCTTCTGCTATTTTTGTAGCTGACTGTGCATGTTTGTATCCCAATATTTTGACTTGGTAGCTGCAGTGTATTTAATCCTAATATGTTTCTTTAAATCAGTAATGTTATAATACCAAAACTAATGCAACTAATGAGAGTTACTGTACTTAATACCCCAATTTCATATATTCATAGCATTTCATTTTTGTTATTGTAGTCTTTGCTGTGTGCACTATTTATCAGAGTTTATAAGGAATAAGCTTTGCTGATGTTATTAAATCACTCAAGTGTGCTAAATTATGGCACCAGAGCAGGTGCTATTGTCTGCAGCTCTTTTGGAAAGAAAGGAAAAACCCTCAAATGATCCTGGATATTTATACCTAAAGGAAACAATCCTTTATATTAATATAAAAAGATTGGTTTGTACTCAGTCAAGGGAATTCTTGGCAGTCAGTTTAAACTTACATGTATATATAGCACACTGGAGCCTGCTAAGTACCTCTGTTTTCTTTATGGATGGAGCTTTGGTGCCAAGAGGTCTGCACCGCATGCAGGCACAGATAGGCTCCTCTCTGATGGATTGTCCCATGCTGAACCACATTGCATACGGGATGTTCAAACACGTATTGATTATCTGGTTCCGTAGTTTACAGCAGAATCATAACCTGATGCTTTTAAGTACATATGTGTAATCGATCTTCATGTGAAGGAACTCAGGACAAAATAAGTATTTTATGCTGTATATTAGACTGTCGGAATCTGTGGGTGTTGGTGATTCCGAGATTGTAGAAAGTCTCCGTCTTTCTGCCCCGTTGCCAAAGAAGAAGCCATAGTTCGTCTGTGCTGTTTTCAAGGTTGTTTATTTTTGCTTATCTATAACATGTTCTGCTGCCCTGCCGCAGGTCTGTCTTGCAGGGCAGCGTGCGGGGCTCTGCCCTCAGTGGGATGGTACAAACATTATATACCAGAAATTACGTGTACTATATTTACAATAATGTGCCAATATCTATCATCTACGTTGAATAGTGTGTCCCTAGCCTAAACCAATAGAAAAATGCCAACATCACCAAGAACATGGAGGTAAGGAAGAAGAAGGAGGAAGAACAGGTTCAGGCCCACTTTCCTCCATCTTAGAACTCCTGACCCCCCTGTACAAAGTAAAACCCCCCTGTACAGGTGTTAAAACCCCCCTGTACAATACTAAAAAATTTTACCCTCTAATTTGTGACTACTTTTACTATACCATCTAACCCTCTGTGACTGCTTGTTCCACCTTCAAAGTTGGTAATTCATTCCATGGTTCAAACTCAAAATCACAGCTGTTTTCTGCTGCTTGCCAGGGTCTAAAATGCTTCTGACCAAGGCCTGGAACCTCTGAAAATGTCTGAGGGACATTTTGAGTTCCGACATTAGACATTATATTAAATTACATTAGATTAAATTTATGTTATACTTTTTTTAAACCTCATCACCATAGTGTTATTGTGTTACAAGCATGATCTTTGAGTGGGCTATGGACTAAAGGTATAATAAAGTTCGGAGTGGGGATAATGCTGTTCTGGTTTTAGTACCAGCTCTCATGGTCAGCTACAAGCGAAATTCCCAACAGAGATGCAGTTTTTTAATAGGGGTAGATATGTTTTGTTACATATCTGTAAATCTTTTCTGCAACACTGCATTACAGAATAACAGACTTGTACTTGAGGGGCAAAATTAGCACATTGATTAGATTTTAGTCAATTGTGCAAATAAAATGGAAATAGATGTGCTTATAGACTGATTTGCTTTATTCTAATGCCAACATCCAACTGGTCATCTGCAAAATTAATTTGCAAAATTTGCCTCAACTGCCACTTCTCAATGTAGAAATGAATACAAAATTTGAATTTTGTATTTGAGTGCCTTCTGTTAGCAATTTTTGCAAGTGATTAAATTAGCTCACAATGTTTGGCTGTATAAAAGATGATTTAGGCTGTAATATTTATTTGTAATTTGGAACGGGAGTACTTGAATGATTCTTTTGGAGCAACTTTCATGTTCAGAGACTTTATTCACATCTTCTGGATCTATGTATAATAAATAAAATTTAAATAAGAATATTTGGTGATAACATGGCAGTTTTGCTATTTACCCAAGCAGTTGTGTCTGCATTCACTCTTAACTCATATTTTCCAATTGTTCAAATTCCTTTTCCTCTCAATTCATTGTTAGTAGAATTTGTATGTTGACTGTATGTTGTTATCCCTCCTTATATAGGGCTTTAAAAAAATTACTTTGCTGTCACATAACCATCTCCATTGCTGCAGTGTGTGTGGTGGCTGTCTTTGTCAGGAAAAAGAACATGCTTGAAACTAATGTTTTATGTCTGAAATTCAAAAGAATAGTGTACAATAGTATTTTAAAAACTCCACAAGCAGCTGGGGTTTAGCCTGTGGATGCATTTGGCCAGTAAGGCATGCATAAAAGATCTGGGACAGATAATTATTTGTAGAGAGGCACAGAGAGAGAGAGTGGCCTGAGCTTGGTTCCCAAATCTTCAGTGGAAGATCTTACTTGTCAAAAGCAGGCACCCAGCTGAGGTGTGTGTGAGGTGGCCACAGCAGAGCAGTTTTGGGTGCAGTTGCCCAACACAGCAGGCCCATCACTGTGTCCTCTGCCACTCAGTCACAAAACCTGCTGCACACTGCTGCTGTAACCCTGCAGTGATGTTGCTCTGGGTCCCACAGGGAAAACACAATCTTGTATGTAAAAGTGTGAAGTCACTGCCTGGGATGCTTTGTAACACACTGACTACTGTGGACATATATGTGAACAAGAATTCCTGTCAACAACAGGGACTCTTCACCACTTTTCATCATTACAACAGGAAATGCAGATTTACATTTAAGAATTGGTTTCATTTAAAAATATTTTTTCTAAGTGTACACAACCAACTTTGCTAGAACACCCTGGGGTCCCTAAGGACCTTAATATCTTAAGCCCCTTTGGGACTTTATTTATTAATGTATTTCTAGGCTGTTCAGGTAGTATTTCTTTCTACAGTGTCATTAACATTGTCTTCCTGCCATGATGCTGTCTTGCCGTATCTTCTATTGTTAGTTGCCATAATGAACTATGGCAGTAACTATGAACAATGTTAGTTGCCATAGTATCAGTGACTGAAGATGATTGTGCTTCAGATATATAGGTTTCATTTTTTTCTTCACATTTTCTTGCCTAAAACTTTCATAGATAAGGAAAAAAAAACCAACCCTAAGACTAATAATGTGTGGCTGATTGTGTTTCCTAGTTTAATTTTTAATTATCTAAGTTACTGGATTTAGGTCACATGGTTATGTTTCTAAAAGAGATGCTTGAAATCTAAACTTAGATTTGTCTCCAAAATAATTATATAAGTAGAGAGAGAGTTTATATTTTAAATTGAAGTGTAGATTACTTTACCAGCTAAAGTACTTACGCTTTTAATCTTGTGAAACGATTGCGCATAAATTGTCTTTGCTAGGTGGTGCGCATGAGGGTCTCCAGCACTTGGGTCCTTATGGCAATATCCCAAACATTGTGGCTGAGCTGACAGGAGATAATGTACCAAAGGATTTCAGTGAAGATCAAGGATATCCTGACCCTCCAAATCCCTGCCCTATTGGAAAAACAGGTAATTCAGCTGTACCCTTTGTACCTCCGTGTTCACTGTACATCTTCCTGTCTTTCAGCACTGTACAACCTGTGATCAGAAATGAGGGTTTTTTTTTTTTCATTCTACGCCCCAGGAAAAGAACTGTTGAGAAACTGGGTGTTTTAGTGTTTCAGATAAGCTTCTTTTTTATATATGTTTTTTAAGAATATGTGCATATCCTGTATTGCTGTATGACGCGGGAGAAGGTGGAAGAAATCATCTTGATCTCAGAGTAGAAGATAGTGAGATTTATGAGAGCATCATGTTCCCAAGGGAATTCATTTTTAAGCTGGCCCCTGAAAAAAGTTATTCTGTACAGGTGAGATTTACCCTTATTTTAGAGACTTTCATTGTGCCAAGAGGAATGAAACTGTCTGCCCTGATCTCCAACCCAGACCGTGAGTCAATATTTAAGATACCTTGGCTCCAATCCATGCGTCTTTACAGCTCACTGAAGGTGAATCTGTGCCAAGAAATGGCGAGCTGCATGGCTGTGCCCCACGGCAGTGCTGGCAGTGCTGGCTCTGGCAGGGCTGGCTCTGGCAGGGCTGGCTCTGGCAGCGGGGCGGCACAGCCTGGGGCAGCCCGAGCGGTGCTGGGACACGCAGGGTGTCCCCAGGCTGTAGCCACAGGCTCCGAGGCAGGTGGGGATGGTGCCCAAGGGTCCCTAAAGCAGCCTCGCATGTGCATGATGTGCACATGCCCTGAAAGAATGGATCTCCTTCCTGTTACTTGAGCCAGGGAATGACTTCCAGTACTGAAAGCAGTAGTAAAACACCCATTGGCTGCCTTGGGACCTGGACCTGGGAATGAGAGCTCTTATTTTTCTCTCATTTTTTATTTGTGAGCTAAGAGATACTTTCAGAATGTTTTCTGTTTAGTCTTCTTTTATGTTATTTGGATAATGCAGAACAATTGTCAGTATTCTTATTTAAAAATGTTCTAACTAGCTTAGAATTAATAAAAAATAATATTTGTTATGAAAAGTTTTTTTCACTGTGAAGTGTTTTTGCATTTCATTCAAAAATTTGACAAAATTTCAACTAGTCCTCCCTTACTGTTTTCTATTACAGCCCATTTGGTGATGATGCCTTCGTCTCTTCTGGAGTAATACCTCATCTTCCAATTTGTTCACTATAGCTGTAGTCTGACAAGTTGCAAATTATGGCTTTAGATTTTCTCACACACACAAACACACATGTGAACTTTCTGTCTTCTGTGCTTGCCCATTAGACTTCTGTTCATGATTAGATAAATAAATTAAAAACATGGCATTCAGGGAAATGCCTTTGAAAATCCCTTCAGTTTTTCTGTCTTGGGTGAAATAAAAGTTGTTAGCTAAGCTAATACAGTCAGATTTGTACAGAGGGGGAATTTGCAGGGAAGTGCTGCCTGCTCAGATAAATGGCTCTGTCATAGGTATGCTGTGAGTGAAGATAGTATCTGCTAGGATTAGAGTAAAATGTTTTTCAGAGCCTTAAATGGAAATTCAAGTGGTAACTGTATTATGCATACAAATTACCAGAGGCCTTCCTCAATCAGGTCTGTGGATTTGCTTAATGGAAAACAATTTTTTCCAGTCACTGTCTACATATGCACATTCCACAGCAGGAATACATAAGCCCAGAGCATTTGAGTTGAAGACTTTTGGATTAGCAGTCATAGAGGACACCCATGTGTCCAGCTGCCCTTTGTGTTTTTTACCAAAAGACACAAATACTCTGAGGTGTACCACACTTCTGTTGTTATCTGTTTCTCTCTTGATACAACCTTGCCTCTGATGAGACTGAAATGATTTCTATATGTTTTAATAGTTTCTGAGTTACTTAGCCGGTATGAAGACTTTTCCCCTGTTTTCTATTGGCAATTTAATTTTTTCCCAATTCCAACAAGAAAAGAGAGAAAGCTGGATCTGTTGAACTAAAAATAACCTCCTCAGGTCATTGAATCAACTCAGTTTTAAATTAAGTCTGTACTGTTTCCCACATCTGAGAGAAAAAGATGATAATCCATCTGCAAATCTTTTTACATGATGACACACAAGGACAGAAGGGGAAGTCCACAGGTGTGTGCTCTGGAGTGCTTGTGTTCTGGCACATGCAGCTGTTTCAATGCCCAGCATCATGCCCTGGCTGGTAGGATCTCCTTGGGTATGTCTGAGAGGAACTTGGACTGCAAACTCCCCGTGCTGGCTAAGCAGTGGGAGCTCCAGGAGCAGACTCTATCCAAAAAACTACTCTGGCCTCAAGTTACTGAACCTTTGTTTAAGCTAAAGATTACTTATTTTGGTAAAAAGACCCTAAGTTGATTTTTAAAAGGATATTATCTTGATGTGGCACTGTCTACAAAACCATCCATTGTGGTTAAAGGAGGTTTCTGGACCAATCAGATTAGTTACCAACCTACAGAAATGTTTTCATCATAAAACTTCTCTTACATAGCATTTTTATGAGATCGTACGATGCAGAAATGATTTTCAGCCAGTTTGAACAAAGTAGCAAACCAGAAATGGAGCTCCAGGAAGAGCTACTCAGTGAAAGAAATTCTCTTTGCTCACAGCACTGTTTTACCATGACCTTCAAAAGTATTGCCTTACCAATTTCTAAAATGACTTGTGAGCCTTTAAAAGAGAAAGTAATAACTCTTCTGAATCAGAAGAGGATGCAATTCTAGGTAAAATCAAGTGCAATAATTAAAAGAAAAACATAAAGGAGAGAAAGAGCTTAGAAACTAAGCTCTTTCAGTTTTCATTAAGTTGTGAGGATTTTTTTTTTTAATAAATACATTCTGAAAAATTTGTTTCAAAATTAAAAAAAAAAAGGTATTTTTTAGTCATCCAGTTCTTTATGTTTTTTAAATTGCATTATTGCATTTAAGAAGTTTGCTGACTACTGTGGCACATACTGTGTATTTCAAAGCTACTAAGCACTCAATGCTTTCTTTTGCAGTTGATGATGGGTGTCTAGAAGACACCCCAGACACAGCAGAGTTCAGCAGGGAATACCAACTGCACCAAAACCTTTTTGATCCAGAGCATGACTATCCCAACAGGGGCAAGTGGGTGAGTACATGCTTCTTGCTTATTTTTATTGCATGTGAAGCTGGGTATTGTCTGTCATGTGGGACACTGTGAAACCATGAGGACAATATCATCCTTAATGCTGGAAAAATGATCACCCTAAGGGAAACTTCTCAAAAAGTTTTGCCCTGAAAAATAGAAATGGTGCTTGTGATTGACAAATGCCCCACAAAAACAGAAAGTAGAATTCCTTGTTCTGTTTGCCTGTCCCAAAGCGTGACAGCTTGGCAAGTGCAAAAAACCACATTTCAAACTATGGTGAACATGTAGCCAAAATTAGCGCAGATCTTAAGATTTCAAAACATAAAATGGCCCTAATCTGAAAGAATACCCAGGTTTAGTGACCATTTGCTGTTCAGCTACATATATAAAAAATAGAAAAAGAATACAGATAGAGTTCAGCAGCTTAAAACACCTTAAAAATATAGGATCATACAAGGATTGCCTTAAGGAATCCTTCCCACTTTAAGGATTCTGGAGGACTTGATGCTGCTTCTTCCTCTAATCAGGTTATGTGCTGTATCCTATTGAAAACCTATTTGACACATCACTTACAATAAACACAGTGAGCTACACTAAGGGCAAAAATCTTGCTTTGAGCATACAAGGACTTTAATAACTGCAGCTAGACTCTTTCTGCAGGCTAGAGGCTCCAAAGAAAGCTCTGCCACTTAATCTTGGATTACATCAGTTAAAATGTCCAATCCCAAATCCATTTTCAGGCGCCAGGAAAACAATAACAATGATCATAATTTATGCTTGTAGAGCAAATAATGAAATCTCATTTTACATTGTTATAACACTTCACTTAAGATTGCACTAAACTGGTGCTCTGTAAGCATATATCGATAAATGGATGTGTTTGGCAGTCTCTTCTCCTGCTGTAATTTTGAGACAATGATTCATGTCCATAATCAAACCAGTGTAAGATTTATAGTCTTAATTACTTACGCGAGTGCTAAATTTCTGGAGAGAATCATGCCAAAAATCCAGATTTTGGAAACTTGTTGCATGCTAATTAATTACCATCAAAGGTTTTCATTTAAAAAACACCAGATGGTGAACGCTCTTATTTATGCCAGATAAGGCTGTTAGTTTTCTTATTATTCATGACTACTTTACTTCCATAATACCGTTCTGAAAACTACAAAGGCACTTCTGTAAATCTTTGGCCTATAGCAATATTTCAGAATCAAGCATACATACTGTGTTGTCATCAGCAACATATATACTTAATAAATGATAGTAAATCATTAGTGAATCCTGGCCTTTTTTTTTGTATTTCCATCCATCACTACTAATTCAGGAGAAAAAGCTGCTCATGTATGGATTAAAGCACTTTTAGGTACTAAAAAGTAATCATATCTAGCTGAAGCTTAGCCAACTCCAGATCTTTTTAATTAGAGATGAAACAGCTGGTCATGTGCATGAGCAAATACTCTGCTGAGATCCAGGAGAACAACCCTGATTATCTCCTAATTGCATATTACTACATGGTAAAAATATAAATACAGTGGTATCTTTTTGTGGCTGGAGTTTTTGTTTTTAATTCTCTGGAAAAAACAGGCAACCACTCTACAAATTAGCTGTTTGCTTATAAAGCAGAGCTGAAGTAGATCAGCTCTCTTAGGGCACTCACCATTGTCTGCATTAAGTTGTAAATAACCAACACAGGTGGCTGTGGGCTGCCTAGTGGGTAACTGAGCATCCTCACTCTCCCACTGCCCCCAGCACCTAAAATTCCCTCTGTCCACAACAGTTTTTTCCTGCTTCTCCTGTTGAAGAGCCTAGGACCAGATGCCCAGGGGCAGTGATGGCTGTGTGCTCACAGACTGTGTTTGCACCAGCTCTTGCCAGCTGAGTGGGCACCAGGCTGTCATCACCAGCTGCATCTCCTGCAGCCAGTGTCTGCTGGACCCATGGAGGCTGGCATGTGCTCCCAGCTCTTGGGGAAGCTTCTCCCCAGCCTTTTCCTACCACTGTGTTGTTGAGGAAGTTACAGTTCCCAGTGACTGGTCCTTTCCAGGAGCCAACATGCATTCCTTAGTGTAACCACAGAAAAACCCAGATTATATTAGCAGGTCAGAAAAAGAGGACTTGCTTGTCCTACTGGGACAGAAACAATTTGGTTGGCTTGTTTTGGTGACAGACTGTCATGCTTGCAAAGCTGTGGGACCTCTGCAGTATCCTGTGAATAACACACATTTTATAAGGGTCAAGCAAGTCTAGAAGCTGCCTCATGCAGTGAAGTGTATGGTTACGTAGATGCTAAATATTAAACACTGCTAATACATCTGCAGATACAAATATATAAATCATAATAAATATATACTGGGTTAGGAGTGGGAAGAAAGGGGAAGAATTTTTTTGTCTTTGAGACAACACCCCCTAAATCAATATGCTGGCCTGTGAGAAGTCTCAGGAACAGACTGTGTTTATAGAGTGAGATCCACGGCTTATACTCCCCTCCTCTCTCCTCATATGGGGAAAACATAGAGGGGACAGTGGAAATAGTAGTATTAGTGAATTTGGAGTTTTGTATCTGGTGTACTACTATAGTTTCTAAGATTTCAGAGTTTTTTCCCCAGTTTAGACTTTTCTGTATAGGACTCAGACACTTTCTGAGTGTGCCTTTCTTGCATCTTGAAAATTGGCTCTTTGGATGGTTTGAAGAAGTGTTGTTGGCATCCAGAAAGACTTGCACAAAGAGAATTTACAATATATGATTTACAATCAAATCTAAAACCCTCTTACATATTTTATTAGTTTAAATAATTTTAACTTCAGATTTTTTCCCACCTAAATCCCAACTCTAATCCAAGTAGCCAAGAGGATGCAAAGGAAATTCCAGGAGTGAGGGAAAAGTAGAAAACCACATGCAGTATGTCTCTATGTGTATCTTTAACTGTAGGTTAAAGAGGTGTATGTTTAACTGAAGAAAACTCTGTGCCTTCACCCTTAACAAAGGATGAACACTTCAGGGGCAGATTTTGGTGGCTGATGAGGTCAGGCCATTACGCAGTGGAACATATTTTCAGGATTGCTATGATCATACCAATATGTTCTTAGCTCATGCTCCACAACCATATTTGCTTTGTACTCCACATAATGCTACAGTGAGACTAAACAAAAAATGGTTTCCTTGAGCAGGGACACTTCAATTGTAAGGAATTTTTCAGAATGACAGAAATGCTAACTCTAGTAGTCCATACAATTAGTTTTATTTCAGAAACAACCTTTTTCCTCTCATGAAAGTACAAGGTCAAATACTTTACAAAGAGAAGCCTTGATGGTGCTTTGTTTTTTAAGTAGAATAATTCACGCATCCTTGAGTTTCTTTAAAATGTTAAATTTAAGTTTTCCTGAAGTGAGCTTGCATAAACGACTAGCCAAGAATGTCCCCCTTGGCCAACTTCATCTCTGTTCCCTTTTGGAACAGCTCAGACAAAATAACTGAGGTTGGACAAGAGATAGGCCTTGTGAATTTGAGGTTTAATGGACACAAGAAGTACAAAACAGACAATTTTGGCAGATTTCATTGTAACACTTGAAAATGTTTGTTTTTTCTCATATCAAGGCTGCAGAGAGAGTTAGACGTGTTTGGTGAATTTGTCTCGTGCTAGAATTACACTTTCTATTTATATAATCAATGTTAGGTCAGTTGTTTATAGCAGAATTAATGGCCTTGTTTATATAGTCTTCTGCTTTTATACATATAATTCTTCTCTCCTTCCATTTTCAGGTTAGGGTTTGGTTTTGGTTTTCTTCATAACACAGAATTGAAACAAAATGTGTTGAACATGTGTGTGTTATTCCAGACTTTATTAGAATTCACTACTCATAAGAAATACAACAATATGTGGATGCACTTATGTAAACTGTGGTCAGAGGGGGTTTTTTGTGTTGGTTTTTTTTTTTTCATTTTCTTTTCTCATCATCATAACTTTCTCTTCTGCCAAGATGTTTCTGGCAGTTTTTAAAAGGTTTGCCATTAAAAATATTATAGACCAAATGGTTTTTAGAAGCTTTATTGAGGGCACTACTTAAACAAAGGAAGAGTTGGCGCTGAACTCCTTTCAGCAGAACTTTGCACTGGGAAGTGTTGATATCTGGAAGGGAATAAGCAAAGACAACAAAACAGTAGGAATGACGCCTATTTCTGTTTTTAAAAGGAATTAGAAAATCACTTGTAAAGCAATTTTTTTGATCCTGTTCTTGTGTCACCTCAAATGTATGGAAAGATATGCCAAAGGCAAGACTCCTGCTCCCTCTCCCTCACAGTCTTATTTTCCTTTTTCCTTCTGCCTTTTCTTAAAAAAAAAAAAAAAAAAAAAAAATATATAGATACACACACACACACGTATATTTTATACCATGTATTTATACCGTGTATCACATGATGAGGAACATCCAGACTATACAGCACATGCTTGAAGCAGTTATTGCCTGAACATGGGGGATAACATAGTGGAAAATTACTGGCTTTTAAATTGTTGATTAGGCTGCGACTGCTTCTGAAGAACTGCAAATCTTAGTAGGAATACACAAATACTTATTTGTGGTTTGTTTCTCCCATAAAACTACACACTCTAGACTTGATAATATTTAATAGAAGAAGTAGTATTTTAAAAGAGAAGTGTAATGGATTTGATGGCTCTGTTGATTTTTTTTTTCCTTTCCAGAGCAAGAGTTTACTCTTTGAGAAAATCAACGGTGGTCCAAAAAGAAGAAAGAGGGTAACTATCAGAATATTTCACAGCCCCTATATAATCTAGAGACCTAACAAAAATTAAAACCATATTGTTGAAATGAAGAGATAGTCTAATGTATTTGTATTATACTTTAGATGATGTGTAAAGTCAGGGACTCTCTGTGATAAAATCCTATAGCTGGCTTCAGGACTGAACACTGTGTACAAGACTTATTTTTCAAAATAGACTCTTACCTTCAGAAGATACACTGAAGTGTAGACCATTATAAAACCTCATATTCTCTGTCTTTTAAAATTGATCCTATTTGCTTAAAACCATTTAAAATTATTTAAATAGCTCTAAAACAGAATTTGAAATTTCCTACTAAAAATATTAGTAAATTTAATTACCACTATCTATGTGTGTGAATATATTTTTCGGTGTAAATAACACTAGAAGTGGTTCTTTATCTGATCTACTTTAGATGAAACTCCTATCTCTGTGTCCCACTTGCTTGAAAGACAGAGATTAAAAGGTTTTCACTGTTCTGCTCCTGTAACAAGGAAGGCAACCGACATAGAGAGATTCTGCACAGTCTGCCTCATTAGTCCCTCTTTTTTGGTAGTCAGCCTGTCTTTTATTAAAAAAGAAAAAATCCGTTTCAGGAAAAGTTGACGTCTTTAGCTTTGCTGCTGGTGTATTATTTTTACAAAAAGGAAAAGTTTAGCTCTCTGCCAGCAAGTAGCTTTTCAAAATATGACAGCACAGTTTATATTGTAAATTAAGTAAATATAATTTAAAATAACATGCATAAGCGAAGATGATTTATTTATTTATTAACTCTCAAACTTTAAGTCTTTGCTAGAAAGGGAGAAGATGAGTTGATTTTTTTTTTGATTCAGACATCACTGGCAGTTGGCACTTCAACCATAAATGAATGATCTGACCTGAGCTTAGTATCTGCTTCATGCTTACATCTGATTTTTGTGTTTGTTAGTTGAAGAGTAAAAAAGGGCAGTCACCTGACTTTAATTTTTAAGTAAGTAGAATTTACTCTGGAAATAGTTCAGCAGAATATTTATTAATAGCTAGAACAGCATGTTAAAGTGGAATTCATGCAACATATACATGAGGGAAAAAAGGAAAAAAGAACATTTTTTTTCAGTGAGCTGACTGACATAATTGGATACCAAAAAAGTAGAAGCTGGAGATACTTGACAGTTATATGGCCAGGGGTAGCCCAGAATTTTGAAGGTGAATTTCTTTACAGCAGACTTATCCTCCTAGCACCAATATGTCACTTAATGCTAAATTCACTAGAATTTAAATTATTTTAGGGTAATACTGTAATGATTTAATGAACAATTCAGAATCTCCACTTTATCAGCAGAAGAGTAATCTAGAACTGTCAGCAGCAGAGTGTGTTTTTCTAGAAATCAAGAAGTCCAGTGGATTCCCCTCCTGCCTTTTGTGCTCCCTGCCACTCCTCCATGCCTTTCTGCACAGACATAGTTTTGGGATCTGGCAACACATTGATTTTTTTTGCATCTGAACTTCCCCATCTGAGGTTAAAACAAGTCCTGTGTAACAGTGTACGTAGTGACCCTGCTGTGTCTCTCCAGGACTGTAGTGGAACAGTCACAGAGGCACCACTGAAGTCTAGAAAACCACATCTTCTAAGCACATGTCCCTGTTCATGAGTTCATGTGTACCTCTGTGAGCACAGTGCAAGCCTGCTTACACATATCGGTGTGTATGGCAAAGGCATGTACTCACCATTTCCTGCTGTGTCCGCTTCTCTGCAGCACTTGCACTGCCAGACAAGGAGGTTTACAGGGACATCTAATTTTAACTAGCAGTTCTCCCCTTTTTTAAATTTCTGTGCTTGCAAACAGCCCTGTCCAGAAGTGTCAGGACCACTTCTGGGATCGCTAAGTTGCCGTGGGCTCAGAGCGGTGTACAAAGGTGCTCGGGGGCTTGCATTGCTTTGAGTTGTACACAGCTGCACAGGGCTAAACATATTTTAGTGAAATCAGCAAAAAGTATTTTGCTTTATATTTTGTGTTTTCTTTTGTTTATTAAGAAGGATTCAAAATTCTATGTAGTCTCATTCTCTTCAACTTTATTTCAAAATGTAGTAAGCGAGTACCATTCCAAAAAAAAAAAGACCAATTAATCTTCCTTGGAATCTTCAAATAATTCCTAGAAGTTTATGCAACGGTTGAATTTCACTAAATTAACATTAAACAGAACTTCTTTAAACAAACACAAACAAATCATTTACATATGTCTTATTTCTAACAATTTAAAGCATTGGAGTTAGTTTATTTTCAAAGATTTTTCCACATTCAGTTTTGGTTCTTAATATTTTTATGTTTTCACTTGCAGCAGGCAAAACCCAAAACCCAACAGAAGTAAGCAAAAGGGCTGCTCTGTGCTATGACTAAGTAATAATGATAGCATCCACAAATCTGGAGAAACCCTAGGGTTTAAACTTGAAGACAGATAAACCCGAAATGTTTTACAGAGATCTGACAAATACTTGGGATAGCTGAAAATAAATATTTCATGCCCATTATGAATGCTCTTTTTTTATTATTATTAAGTTTTGATGAGAGAAGCACAGAAATGTCTCAAGAAGAGTAATTTCTGTGACACACATCCTGACAAGAATCGGGAGATACTGGAAAATGTGCATTCCACTGAAGTTTGTGCTTAGGCAAACAGTTTTTATTAGCATCCAAATCCTTCACGCTAGAATTTTTGACTGTATCTGTGTGAAGGAGACAAAATACACTTGAATTTTGCTTACACTGACACTGTAACAGGCCAGAAAGCAGGTGTAAATGATACATAATACTGAAGCTCCACTTAACTGCTTGCCACCTTGCAAACACAATAAATACATTTGACTCCACTAGTATAGATAAAATTCAAGCATAGGCTTTCTATGTTACTCCATCTATGATCTCCAAGCAGTTTGAGACAGGATCTGTTCATCTTCAGCCTCACGTTGTGCTGCTTGCATGGTGCAAAGTGAAGTTCAACCCTCTCCAGGAATCTTCTTTCCAGCATTCCCTTGTTCTGGCAGTGCTGTGAGAGCCATTTTCTATGCCAAAACCTTGTTTGGCTCTGCTTCTTTGCCAGCAGTTTTTTATCTCAGCATCAAGAGAGGAAGCAAGGAGGGGTTTCCTGGAGAGGAGACAGGCTGAACAAGAGGCTTTGGTCAAACTGGAATTGTGGTCCCTAATTTGTATCCCAGCACAATGTCCATTAGGGACTAGTGATTTAAGCTAAAGTTTACCTGTACTTCTCTAACAAGTTCTGTCCTGCCTCAAGAATTAGGGAGTTAGAATTGCTGTTGTTTCACTGCTGAGCTGAGGAAAGGAGGAGTGAAGCAAGAGGGTAATGTTTAATTGAGATTATTCTATATTCCTGATAGTCCTCCTTCACTTGTATTCCTTTCACTGGACTGAATTAAATTTTTGCGCAAAAAAAAAATAGAAACAAAACACTGGTTGACTTCTAGATTTAATTAATCCCTGGAAGCATTTTTTTTCCTAAGACTGTAAATATCTGACAGATAAGAAATACATAAATATGTTCACTAATTCTACTTACCGTTTATCTGCTTCCCTGTTTCTAATAAGTTTAAATAATTTAAAATTTTTTCAGAGTGTGAACCCCTATCTTCAAGGACAGCGACTGGATAATGTTGTAGCAAAGAAGTCTGTTCCACAATTTTCAGATGAAGACAAAGGTCCTAAATAAGTACAATAAAAATGAAAGATAAAAACTCATGCCATCCTCCTCTAGATCACGATATTGCTTATATATAATCATCTATTAAAATCTTTGTGAATGGTTGCATGCTTATTATTTATATAATTGTAGATGAAAAACAGCTGTATTTATAACATCATGTTCTCCTAGATGATAAAAGTGTGGTTCTGCTTTTTGTTAAGTTACGGTAAAAGGACATTTCTGTTGTTTTTATTTTAGTCACTGAGCAAACTTTAAAAATGTTAGTCATTTTTGATAGCTAATGTGAGGTAACTGGTCTTAATGAGAAACTTGTAAATAGGAAGATGAAAAAAAAAAAACAAGTTTGACTCCAACATTTAATCTTAAATGTTACTATGTTTGACACATGAAAATTATAGTTTTATGTTTTGTTCACAAATATTGTTACTTAGCAAAGACAAAGTATTTATTTTACGCAGAGATTTTTGGCTTTTGGTCCATTTTAATAAACATTTAAGCAATCTACAAGGTTTGCAAAGTGACATTTTCCAAAATATTTCAGAGGCTCGTTTGTCTCTGTTATTGCTGTGCACATTTAAAAATTAAAGAACTGTTTTTGACTGTATTCACTGAAATATTTTTCTGTTAGTTTTAATCATTCCATGCCCACAGCTTTCTTGAACACTTGAACATCTTCCTTCCTTATCAATGGAAGTGTTATGTGAAAATTAATTTGCCCTGCTGTTCTTTGTCTTAGTAACTGTAGCATTTGTGCATTATAGTGTTGAATTACGAGTAAAGATGAAGACATTTGTCTGTGTTAATAAGGTTGTGTCAACAACCTCTGAATCTAAATCCAGGATGTGAAGGTCATTACAGTTGATCTTCTGAAAAAATATGCTACTCTAATACCACTCGTAGCTATCATTGCTCTTGAAGTTGTTCTGGGAAGCTTAAATTGCCTTTTTGCCCCTAGGAGACTGAAGAACTTTATGTTCCAGAGTTCTTCCTTTCTGAAAGATGAGAACACACCTAAATATTTCAAACCATGTGAATGGACCACTGGAATTATAGAAAACAGCATTAGTTTACAGCTGATACTACAAATAATATCAGGGAAATTGTGGGGGGAAAAAAGTAGTTTCCTTCCCCATCCTGTAGAGAGATACAGGGAAATAATGATGACCTCTTAGAAAAAAGAAAACAAATAAGAAATTAAGGTTCCTAGATATATAAAATTAACAGGATAGCACAAATAAAACCATTGGTGGCATTTGCTTTTTTTGTCCCATCACTTAGTTATTTGTAATAAATTATGTATGTAGAGAATTGGCCCTCTCATGCCATATATGGTAGATTGCAAAATTCTAACATTTTGGAACAGACTATCATGTCTTTCGTCATACTTCCTTTAAAAAAAAAAAATCTTGAAGAGAAAAATGAATAGTATGTCATAAAGTGGAGTTTATACTCACATAAGACACAAAAATGAGGAATTTTGATGACTCACAGAGCTCCTTTGGCTTCCAGTGGCCAGAACAGGATGGGAGCAGTCTAGCCGTTCATGTGACAGAACTTGTATTCTCTGCATCTTAAGCTTACTCTTTTTATCTGCACTCCTGCTTAGTCTTCACACAGGTATTGAAAGCTTCACAGCTACAAAGGTTGCTCCAAAACTAACAAAGAGTCTATATATATCATGGCATAAATCTGACATTAAAACCTGCTGATGCCCAGTGGCCCAGAGTGTGTGAAATGGTCATTCCTTCCAGCTAACGCTGCTGCCAGCCACTGATGGAGCTAAAAGGCTTCCAGGCATTTGGAGGCTAGACTGCCATTCCTAAGAAATTGGTGTTTCTTCAGATCCTTGGCTGTTCCATTGATACTTCTGAAGTAATCTGAGTTAGTTACATTCTGTCCTTATAGTCCAGTAAAATCCATTTGAATCACAAAAATGAAGCCATCATGGTGGCAATTTATTTAATATTTTAAGCTCTTTTTAAGGACAAGTGCATAATAAAATGTCTGTACAGTAAACAGGGGGCTTGAAAAGGGAAGGGCAAAGAAGCATTGCTTGCTTAATAGTATCAATAATCCCACATGTTATTTTGTGAAGCACTCCAGGTCACTCCAACCCTGTGTGGGAATGTGAAATCCAGCACTGCAGACTGGCCAGAACAAGGACACCTGGCAGGCTGCCTGCGGACTGCATGCCACCAGAGAAGCTGCCCCTCTGTGTATGATAGATCTACACAGTGCAGGCAGAGGAAAAATATCACAATTCAGACCTGGTTTTATCCTTAAATACAAGCAAAGAAAAAAACATCTTTGCACAAAACAATTACGCGTCTTACAGGAACTGTCAAGTGTGTGGTGGTGAGCAGCTGTTTGCTGCGTTCATCAGGCAGCTTGAGTGTTTCACCAGGAAGACTCTGCAGTACTATTGTGAAATTTTAATAAAATATAGCTATTGCACCATGATAATAAGATTCATTATTCTAATTGCAGTTTCATGGCAGAGCTGTCTTTTGGTACTGGAATAGGCTAGTCCCATATAGATTAAAAAAAAAAAAAAAAAAAACAACGACAAAAAACCCCAAAACAAACAAACAAATAAACAACCCAAAAAAATAACACCAACCAAAAAATCAACAAGCAAAAATCCTTGTCCCTTCTACTGTTCCAACAACAGTCCAAACATCCATATGTAGTTTTTCAAACAGAATAATCAGTGGTGGTCTTTCAGAATCAATGAACAAAGTTACCAACTATCTCACCCGACTCAGAGTTCACCAAACCAATATTTACAAGAGTGTAAATAGCTGCACATGTGTAATTGCCCTTTTACCTTTATGATGCATGTGAATTAAGGAGCATGTATACTGATATTGTTGTTTAGAATTTTCATCAAATTAAAACCTTTTAGAATATTTTAAAAACTGAAAGTGTGTTAATTAACACATTAGAAACACAATGTGCTTGAAGGAAGCTATACAAAATAAAGTGTATTGCCCTGAAAAATTGGTTTTGTCTGGTAAAGAAATATTTATTACTCATAAAAAACCCACTATGTAACTGATGAGAGTATTTGATTTGTGACACAAAACTTACTCTTGAGGTGCATGTGCATACCCACACATTAATACTCTTTTTAAAACATAATACAGTCTGATTATAATATTGTTAGTAAATAATATAATGAGGTTAACTCACAGAAGACAATAATATAAATATGCTTAGTGAATTGCTAAGGACAGGAAATAGAGATATACTTCTAAATACTGCCACATTTGCAATAAATGCAATAATTGCACAAATGCAATAAAACCATCCTGATATCTATGCAGCAGCTCGGGGGCAATCCAAAGAAGCTGGGTACTAGTTCTGTGATGTCGGAGTTCTGAGAGTCATTTCCAGGACTGCAAGTAAAGCTGACCTGAAGCTTATTTTATCAAAATGTGATGAAGTCCATCTTATCTATTAAACGAGGGAAGGGCACAGGCAGAAAGCTTACTACCAAGTCCATTAGGTTTTTGGCTTTGTTGCCAACAGAGTAACACAAGCCCCTCCGTTTCCAAATGTCCGTAGCTGAGGAAGAAGACAGTAGCTTTTTCATGATGAAGAGGAGACTTGTCTTCAAACAGTAGGTCTGTGAAGTGTTGAAAAGGCTTTGCTTTCATTTTCAAGGTGTACAAAAAACAAATCTTTGAACATTTAAATTTTTTTTAAAAAGCCCATATAACCACATCAACCCAAAACAAACTTGGAATGTTCTGGCCTGCTTGCTGGTAAGCTCACTAAACCAGTTCTCACCTCAGCTTGTAATGTGATAACAATTTTTATGCAATTAGTTCTTTTTTGGTGCAAATAGACAATGCCTGGATCTGTAGGACAGAGACCTTAAAGACATCTTTTCAGTTTTCTGAAGTCACACACTCAGATTTATGGAAAGAGAAGGGCAAGGTAGAGGATGCTACCACAATCCCACAGAAATTTAAGATGTCCAAGGAAAGGACAGTTCCACATGATCCACAAAGGAGACTAGTATGTTCACTATTTTATTAGCCAAGTGTCACTATCTGTAGGATTTAAGTTACCTCTCCATCCAAGCCAGAAGCTGTCAAGGCTATCAGGGAGAGGACATTTTCTCCAATTTTGAGACACCTGAATCCAACACTTCAGGCTAGTGGAACTGACTATTAGATTGAATTATATTTCTGCCATGCTTGATACAAATAGCATGCCAATGTGATATGCCCTGAAGAGAAGACAGCAAAAACAAAAACCCAGCAGAAACCATTGACTCCACTGCCATATGGATACACGTGCATACACTTAAAAATTCAGCTTCGTTTGAAGGCATGCAATTACCTTCAGTACTCTTTAAAAAGAATCATAGTCAGGAATTATCTTAAAGAAGAAGTGTACTTTTAAAATAAAGAATTACTGTGTCCCTTAAAATGTCTGTCACGCCTAGGGTCAATGTCAGATTCCAACCATGAGCAAAGAACGGGTTCCCTTGAAGAGCTCAGCCACTGACAGTGATCTCCTTACATGCAAACTAAATAAAAATTAAAAACAACTGTAGGCAAAGGATGTGGAATTGCCATCATGAAGGTCCCTGTCAAATGTGGCTGACTACCATAGAATTGGGAACTAACCCAAGATTTTCAAATATAAGAGAATGAAAAGGTCAAATGAACCATTTTCCAAGTACACTCATGGCCTAGGTCTACCAAGCTCAAGGCTTTTGCTGTTAGGTGAAGAATGGCATTGAGCTCCAGTTTACCATGAGAAGGAAATACGTCGTTTCAGTTGTCATGTTTGCTTTATTTATGATGATGACTGCTTTGCTGTGATTACGTGAGTCCTGATGGTTGGGAGAGCTGCTAACCATGTGTTCAACACATGGGAGCATAAAAAACATTAAATACGAGTGTCATTGCAGTAACATTATCAAATGGAATTTAAAGATCTTTAAAAAATCCCATTTTATTAATGAGGTCTGTATTTGTATGTGGGGAAGAGGTAGACATAGTAGGAATTGAGAATAGTTTCAGACTTTAAAGATTAGGTAGACCTGAATCACCTCTTTCCATTTTATTCTGTAGTTCCTGTTACCAAAACACACAGAATGCAGCTCCTAATCCAATGCATTGTTGTCTTCTACGTTTAATCATGTGTTTCTTAATCCTACTCTGTTCTCCAAGAAAAACAGTGGTGTGAGTCAGTGGCTAAATTTCATGGTAAACTGAGTGAGGCAAAGGAGAAAACACAGGAAAAAAAAATGTGCTACTTGTTACTAGTCTCAAACTTTCACTCCTTCCATAACCATTGTCATTCAGCTAGAGACCATTAAATGTATAAAAACTGACGCCTTTTACTCCAGATCTTTGTTCTGAACCTAACCACCATATGACAGTGTTACTTTCTTGGGAACCACTGAAGATCTCCATTACAGATGACAGGGATTTTTGGGTCTGGGCATATTTGCTAGATCACAAAAGGTGCATATGGCTTTGATGGTGAATTCAGACATCTTCAAACTAATCCTTTATTTTGAAAAAAAACCCAAACCCCAGCAGTTATTTCAGTGCAATATATATATTCTAATGCCCGAAAGTTCTCTAAAAGTGGCTGAAATTCAGGTGGGATAGCCTGTATCAGGAAATGCTGTTCTGATTCCTCAACTCAATAGAGAGCACCTTTCTACATTGGAGATATAAAATACCACACTGTAACATTTTATGTTTCTAAATGGACTAAACAGACTCATGAAAGAGCAGGTTAGGCCATCCATAATTCACCATTGGTTATTTTTTCCTTTTCTTAACACTGCAACAGTGACTAAGAGTATTGAAAAACTTTGATTCCAATGAGTAGTGCAATGGCTCTAAGATTTATGGACTTGAAAGCTGTGTTATGGCACTTGAAGAAACCTGTTTTTACTGCTGCATAAGCCATTGATCAAATTAAAAAAAAAAAAAAAAAAGAAGAATAATAATTTAAGTAAATTCTTTAGAAGTCAGTGTTATAACAGATAATCATGGCTGTCATAGTTCTTGCATAGACCCTGGCTATTGCTGAATTCCCAAACCCTATGACTGAGCTGACTCTGTGCATGCCTGGATAATGTATGTATGCACAGGTAGAAAAGCCGAAAAGTATGTCCTGCTCCTGATTCTTTATAGCTTCATCCTGCTAATCCCTCAGTGTCTCTAGCTTTGCTGCAGCCTTTCTGGTGATTTCTGCTCTGAAGTTATGGTGTCTTGGAAGAATTTTCAGGGACTCTCTTGAGTGTGAAGTTATCCAGCAGGCAAGCAGTATATGGCATAACGATACACATTTATTTCAGTTAAAATACATCAATTAGTAGTTGAGGCTATTTTCTAATTTCTTACCACATTGAATATTTTCTGCTGTGTTTTTACATTCTCAGCAGCAACGTTTAAGCCTTTAAAAGAACAAGAACTATCTGCAAAATTGAAGATAAGGCCTTCATAAACCTATCCCAAAATATAAGCTGCTTGTAAAAACCACTTTGTGTCTATTTTGTTGTGCATCTGGAGGTTCTTGGTATAGACGTTTACAAAACTGGGAATAATTTCCAATTAAAAGATGGACGAACAGTTGCAAAGAAGTTAAGTGCTGGCTCCAGTAAAGGCCCAAGTACCCACAGTTTGACTTGTGTCCAATGAAAATACCAAAGCCCAAGCACATGCAGCTCAAACCTTGCCTCTCTTTCCTGATTCCTCAGGCACCTAAAGGCTATACACAGCTATGCTTTCCTGTAATGATGGACCTCAGGTGCCTGCACTCCTACCTCTATACATGCCTAGGACTGTTTGAGACTCAGCGAACCTTCCACAGCTCTACACCTGTCTCAGTCCTAAACCCAGCCTGAATCCACAGATTTGGCAATTCTTCCCCTATATTCCCTGAGGGAGCAAGCCTGGCAACTGCTCATCTCACACATGTCTACAGGACCAGGCATTGCACGAAATACCTCAGCAGACATAGACAGTTAATTAAAGTGTCTGTAAGAGTTATGGCAAAAGAATCAAAGCTCTAATGACATCAGAGAAGACAATCAAAGAATGAACACAGATTTGTCACCTAGTGCTTCATATGGCAGGCTGAACATAAGGAAGGACAGAGTAACAGAGGGCTCTAGCTAGTCCTCAAGGAGTGTTTGGGTAGCTAGGCAGACACCTGATAAAAATACAAGAGTAGTCCAAGAGATGGCAAAACCGAAGCGAACCACACACCCCACCTTCCTGAGTAGATGGCTACTTTTGGCTCCTTGTCTTGACTTAATTATTTTCTGAATTGTTGAACAGCTTCAGCAGGGGAGGTGCAGGTCTCACACAAACAGGCTGCAGCCTCATGGCTAAGAGGCTGCACCTCTGGAGGTGCTGGTTTGAATGCCTCCAGTGAGTAGACAGACACCGTCACCTTCTCTTTTCTGATTCCTGAAACACCACCAGCCTCCTTTCACTCACTTTTTATGTATTGTTTTTTCTTTTCCTTCGGGAAAGATGTATTTAGCTGCTACCCAAATTCTTGGAAGAATGTTACATTTAGCAAGACTTGGAAACTAGCAAGAGTTCATTTGCTGGACTGTGCATTCTTTATTCTAGTAACTTCAAAAATATCTTTAGATAATTTTGCAACTGTTGAAAAGGAAACATTTAAAAACTCCACTTCCTTACTCACTACTAGCATTCCAGTGACAAATTTAATATTGCAATAATTGCAATGTATGGGATTTGCTGACCAAGAGTTCCAGTGAGCCTATGGGACCCTGTTAGTGTTCCTAACATGACATCTCCTTTTAGCAAGATGCACCATATTTCAGCACTGAAGTTAAGGCACAATCTTTTTATCCACACCAGCGTGACTAATTCTCTTCAGGGTGGTTTCAGGTGGAATTTTCTCTATTAAAATACACATGTGCAAGTACTGAAGAGTTTTTCAAAGCTTTTACATAAGCTGGTGGCAGTGTACTCAAACCAAGAGGG